TCAACGATTGCTCAAACTTGGTATCGTAAATTTGTATATAAATTTTTTTAGTTGAGCACATTTTTAATACAGTTTGATTTGGTTATGTAGACATCGAACATGTACATGATGAACGAACATTGTCGTATTTATAATTAAAAGGTTACTTGTATATATAAATTTTCCGCCATATTAAAATACTGAAATCTGCTAGGCGTTCTGAAGCACCTTGAGCGGTGACGTCACACCAATAGGTCCCAGTCTCGTACTACATCCACTTTTTTCTCGCGCTTGCTTCGGAACGCCTGGGACTAGGCTGTGTATAGCTCATTTGTGTGACATACATTTGTATGTTGTAATTTTCTGTTAAACATTTGCTATAAAGAAGATGCTTGTGATGTTACTCTAAGCTAGTGTATATCCACACCAGGCAAGCTTGATAAATATGCCTGTCCACGGTGGGAATCAAATCCATGGACAGGCATATTTTTCAAGCTTGCCCGGTGTGGATATACACTCAGAGTAACATCACAAGCATCATATTCACCTCAGGGCTCAGTACATATTTACATCAAGACAGAAAATATCATGATTACTAGATTACAATAATATCGAAGGAACTAGATTCTATTCCGAAATATCACATACTCGACCTGACCGCGTAGCTCAGTTGGCAGAGCATTGAGCTAGTATTCCAAAGATCATAGGTTCGATTCCCACCGTGGACAAGCATATTTTTCAAACTGTGCTGAGTGGTTATATTACTACCTTAAAAAATAAGCAAAAACTCGACGTTTCGAACGAAGGCCCTTTGTCTTCGAGTTGTAAAACAAAAGTATTTCAAGTTTTTTACATATATATATATATATATATATATATATATAATATAGTCACTATAAATAATAAATAATAATTTGGTTGACAAATGATAAAATACTTCTCCCAGATACACAAATTACATCTTTTGGATGCATTACTGTAAGATTTAACTTGATATAATATATTATTATTTTATTTAATATATTATATATATTTTTGACTGAGCGACTATATTTTAAGTTAACAAATTAATCATTTGCTCTACGTTATTAAATGGTATTGAGCGCTCTTTCTACACTGTAAAATTTGATCATTTTTGGTCTCATTAATAATATTATATATATATATATATATATATATATATATATATATATATATATATATATATATATATATATATATATATATATATAATTGTTGTCTTTTTTACTTAAAATTAATTAAGTCGCAACTCTGAGTTTCACGTTTTCACGATCTTCAGGCGACGATGTATGTTCCATACATCGTCGCCTGAAGATCGTGAAAACGTGAAACTCAGAGTTGCGACTTAATTAATTTTAAGTAAAAAAGACAACAATTATAAAGCTCTACTAATATTGGTGTTGAGCACTCTTCAAACTACTCAGTGCGTTCATACTTTTGTTTGAATCAACGATTATTATTGATATATATATATATATATATATATATATATATATAACCATATATTGTAACCCAGAGGGCAGAGGTCGCCGGTTCGAATCCGTCTCAGCTTTTCCTGTTCACTAAAAAATAATTACCTACGGTGATTAACATATATATATATATATATATATATATATATATATATATATATATATATATATATATATATATATATATATATATATATATTTATTTGAAAATTTGAAATACTTTTGCTTTTAATACAACTCGAAGACGAAGTGAAAGAAATGGTTTCAGAACCGGTATATCTCACAGAATAGCTCAGACATATTATACAGATGTTTGGTGTATAGTAAGTGCTTGTTGACAGCAAATTCATTTGTCTTTCGTTGCAAACTTTTCTGAACAATTTATATTCTCAATGAACATGTTTTTTCGCTGTTGTTGCGGTATTAATTCTTTAAAAAAACTTGTATTTAAACTAATTTCTATATAATAAATGTATTTTGCTAACCTGTCAAATTTTTTGAGAGGTCCTTGTACTATTATCTTTCTCAAAGCGAATATCTTCCTTTTTTCTGCTTCGCAAAACTCATGTAGTTTTTGGACCGCCATCTTGTTTTTCGCTACTCGTCGTATATGAGCTGATATACGGCGAGTAATTCAACCAATCAGATTGCAGAACAGCTCATATACGGTGGATGACTATATTATATATATATATATATATATATATATATATATATATATATATATATATATATATATATATATATATATATATATATATATATATATATATATATATAGGTTGAGGTTTTGGTTTACGAAACACAAACAGTGCTCAATACCATATAGATAGAGCCTAATATAGTTTTTTGTTTTACCTCAAAAACCATCAAAGACCACCTGATTTAGTAGACTGTTGTGGTTTTTTGAGGTAAATATGGTTCTTAGAGGTATATATATATATATATATATATATATATATATATATATATATATATATATATATATATATATATATATATATATATATATATATATATAACGAACTTTTTAATATGTGCAGGTGGTAAAGGATGCTTATCTAATTACAAATCAATTAACACCTTAAGTAGTTTCACGAAAATATTAGTATCAAATTATAAAGTTTTTAAGTAGAAATGTATTAGCGTGTCTACACGTGGAGACAATTAGTTCGTTGCGACGATTAAGTGTTGCAATGTCCGGTTGACAAATAATAAAATACTTCTCCCAGATACACAAGTTACATCTTTTGGATGCATTACTGTAAGATTTAACACGTTTTAAAATTTTCCATGCCATTTCAGATATCTTGTGCCAACTATTATAAAGCTATTTCAGATATCCTGTGCCAACTCTGTTTTAATAATGTGTGGAAAAAATTTGTAATTATGTATTTTTGACTGATGCGAATAAAAATTCTTCTTCTAATGTTATTGTTCTTAAGATTCCAGATGCATTTACTTATTCAGTAGAGTTGCGCCTCTCATAGTTATTAAATGAAGCTACTATTTTCTTGTTGGCTTCGATGATAATTTTAAGCCATGACTGTTGAAGATGGAACAGATATCTTTCTTGATAATTTCATTTTTACGGGGGGTTGCTTTTATAACACCAATCCCGTCATCTCGATAGAGGTCGAAATTCTCACCGTGTTTTAGGGTGATCTGATGTAACAAAAAAGATCTGACCAGCTTGCACAATTCTGCCCCGTCATACTACCCATAGTAAAAACATCTGACAAGCGGCCCACTCAAACATATGTTGGACTAAGAGAAAATGAATTCAAAGCCCGATACACCAATCACAAAGCTTATAATAATAATAATAATAATAATAATAATAATAATAATAATAATAATAATAATAATAATAATAATAATAATAATAATAATAATAATAATAATAATAATAATAATAATAATAATAATAATAATAATAATAATAATAATTAGTTTTTTATATAGCGCATCTTCCATAAATGTCCAGATGCGCTTTACAATTTACAACTTACAATATTTATACAACAATTGCTTGATTTAAAGTTTTGTAAAATAGGCTATAAAAATCGTTCTAAAAATAGTTAAAATTACTCTAAATAAAATCCTTATATACAATTCGGAACAAATGTGTTTTCAATTCTGATTTAAAAGATCCTATAGATTCACATATAGTCTTACATTCCGAGGCAGATTATTACACAATATTGGTGCAGATACCCTAAAGGAACGTCTACCATAGGTTTTCAAGTTATAATTTGGAACTACTAATTTCCTATCTGATGATGATCTTAAATTTCGCCTAGGCACATAAACTTCCAACAGGTCAGAAATGTATTCATTTAGCTTCATTTAATAACTATGAGAAGGGCAACTCTCTTGAATAAAGTAAATACATCTGGAATCTTAAGAACAATAACATTAGTTACTCTAAATATGCTGGAAGTGTGACCAGGATTGAACATAATGATTTTTGAGACGTTCTCTGGTTGAAGATAGAAGAACACACACTTGAACAAATGCTCCCTTCACCGAAAGACAGACCACCATCCGAAGAACAAACAAATGTGATCTATCGAATAAATTGCGCCGATTGTTCGTGGAGCTACATCGGTGAGACGGGTAGAGCGTTTATCACACGGAAAAAAGAACATGTGAAGAATGTCGAGAAACAAAAAGCGGGTTCAAATATTGCGAATCATGCCTGGTCTTATGACCATAAAATTGATTTTGACAATGGCAAGATAATCGACAAGGCAAACTACCGCCACAGAGCTACATTGGAATCTTGGCACACCGCGCTCACAGCTAACGCAGACAATAATTCCAAACATTTACCGGAACAATACCGTTTTTTATTAAAGAAATAGAACAATTTTTATCAGAGTATATATAGGCAGAACTATCACTTCCACTTATCTGTTTGTCACTGCAATTTGTTAACCGTAAATTTACAGTGTAGGCGTAGCGTAGGCGTATGCTTCGATCTGTAATTGTAAACCGTATAGTCGTCTGTATCACTGTATTTTATAACTACCCGTTGAAGGCTGCAGTCTGGCAACCGAAAGCTCGTAAATAAAAAATCTTCAACCAGAGGACGTCTCAGAAATCATTAGTTACTCTATTAGATGAAAAATTTTAAAACGTGCTAAATCTTACAGTGATTCATCCAAGAGATGTAACTTGTGTATCTGGTAGAAGTATTTTATTATTTGTAAACCGGACATTGCAACACTAATAAATTTCTACTTAAAAACTTTATAACTTGATACTAATATTTTCGTGATACTACTGACACTAAAAAATAATTATTTTTATGAAAAAAGTTTCTTCGATAAGGAATTTTTCACAATTTGAACAAAAAACAAGCACACACTCCTTGGAAACCTCAAATTGGAACTATTGCATATGCTTCTAGAACATATGCAATAAAGTATTTGGTCCCCAATTATGGCGAGCGCATGATCAAATTCGTTAAGATGGCAGATGAACATGAATAATAAAATTCTCTTGTCATAAGGTATTGCTTACCAATTCTCGGAGGCACATATCGCATGCCATTATCGGAAGGTCGTCTTTGATAATATCTGCCACAGTTATCACTGTTCAGACAACAATTAAACCATGGAAGCACATCAGTTACAAAGTGAGAGGCTATGCATGAAGCAGGAGATACACGATCCAGTGAACCACCTCCAGGAGGTCCTACTACCAGCGAGTCACCATTATAACAACATTGTTGACCAGCTTTAGATTTGCTACATAAAAAAGCAAAATAGATAATCTGCGTATTTAGATTTGTAAAGGCAAAGGAAAATGTGGTAATGCGGCGACAATCAATGATGTGTTCCCAAAGAATAAAAAATATAAGTTGCTGCTAGAAGTTTCCAAATTACCAACGTGGCAGAAATTAAGGGCATTTTGGCTATGACTATACATATTAAGCATTTTTTGTTGAAAACCACATAACCGAAATTTCAAGATTTCATGGCTGTACCTCCTCACTGATCTAAAATATATCGCTGTATGTTTGCTAGGAGCGGGATAAGGAATACTTCAATTTTCAAAAACATATTATTTGGAAAATCGTTTCATACAAAGAACTTCCAAGCAATTTATTACAATGTTTAATTTGGAAAAAAACACTGAAAACGTAAAGGAAAGAAAAATTAATTGAAATACCGAACTGGAACTACCCAACAATTTCAACTTATTTAGCTATTATGAGGAGATTTTTTACAAAGTCGCGCATTTTTTTCGAAAAACGCTCAAAACTTAGCGACCAGGCCTTCGCGAAAAAATGCTGCGCAGCCATCTTGGTTTTAAAAGTTTCTCAAAATTTACGAAGAAAAATAACAGAATTTTACTGGATTTTTGGCTGTGTGACGAGGCAAAACATTGTCAAATATAAAGAAAGATAACATGGTAAGTGTAATATCGTATTTAATAGCTGTTATTTAAATTATTATTATGTAAATATGCACATGTATTGGATTCAGGAGTGAGCATAATTTAAAGCTTTTATAATATTATTAAAACTGATTGAAAGTGACTGCTTTCGTCTTTGGAATGATGGCCTACCTGTTCATAACTCGTTAATATACAGTAGGTACATGCAAAATTTTAAAGCACTATTTTTGAATTTTCAAGGAAGAATTTGAACATTTGTAAATATAATTCATTTACGTCGAATCAGTTTCTTTTTGCTCTGGTTACTGTTGCATATGTCCATATTATAAAAAACATTTCACTGCAAACGCACATAGCATGCATATCTGTATTTTTTATACTTTATACTGTTTTGTACACATGCAGCTGTTGCATGCTTCAGGTATACCATGCTAGTCATACAATATACTAATTAAGTAATTGGAAACCACTAATTCATTTGGGATATAGGTGACAATTGCAAGTGGAAATAATAGTTGAAACATTAAGCTACTTTCCCTCATGCATATAACTTGATGTGGTATGAGGCCCGAACGAGGGTTGCTAAACTGCGGCTGGTCATAAAGCAGGGCCTGACCTGATGAGGCAGGATGCATCATCACTGTGGACTTGCCCCCACTAGAAATCTTTCCACCTCCCCTTTAAAAAAATAAAAATCCACCCTTGGGCTCGATCAATCTTTTGAAAAACAAAGTTGCCTACAGTATAAGGTCATAAAGACCTTTTTAGTTTGATAATTGTAAAAGATTTGACACTGACCCCCCCATAAATCAATCCTGATGCCACACAAAAGAATACTTCTTTCCCTCTGAGTTAACAATGAACGTGTGTTTTTACAGATCTCTGGGATATTTCTTTTACAACCTTAAAGATATGATTATGAAGACAGATGTCTGTACATTTTAGAGTATTTTGTACATCCTATAAACTTTTTGTAATATCCACCTAATATATAAATTTGTATCATAATTAAATTTGTATCACAATCTGTGATTTCATAAATATTCATTTTCATCCTGTTTCATTTCTTGTTTTCTTTGATAACCTGCAAGAAAAGATCTTCTTAGAAAATCTGATATTTTTGCAAATGTATTATGATATACTGTGTATATTCATGATCTAATTTATGTCTAGCCTGGTAGAATTCCAATATGACCCATCTATGTGTTTATTTTCAATGAAATTAATAAGAAAAATTCACTGAATGAGTTAAATAAAGAGGTTCAGACACGCAGGATTTTTATATGAAAGCTGGGTTTGCATGGTTAGCACTACAACTAGCCTAATACGAGACATCACTATGTAGCTCTGCACAATACCTTACTTGAAAAACAATAAATCTTGGGTACCAGGACAAGCATTTTCCCATATAAATACATTAACCAGGGTGGCCCGATTGCCAAGCCTTTTTATGAATATGTTGATCTTGATAATAATTGTGGATATTCGCAGATAGGTTTTAGAAATGGTAAAACCGACCTTGGACCGTGCACTTAGATTTTAAGCAAATTATATTTTTTGCAAACTAACATACCCCAGCCTTCATATATGGGACAATTTAGCTTGTTCTGGAACAGTTCTGCAGCACTTTTCAGCTCTGGACATTAGATTCACATATCCTTCAAAACAGCCTAATATTAACTTTTTAATATTGTGGTTGATTTTAAAAATGTCGAAAAATGACCTTGGACCTACCCAACCTCGTACCCAGGGCTAGTCGCGAATTGAAGGCGGCGACATAGCCCTGGTAAACGCTGGTCACGTGACTCCAACATTACATAATTGTTACTT